TATATATATATATATATATATATATATATATATATATATATTTGAAATTATAAAATAATATTTATCTTTCACATAAAAGGGTATGATTTATGATTTATCATGATTATGATTATCATATGAGTTTTCTTTTCTATTGATTAATATTTAATAATTATTATGATTATTATGATTAAATTATTTTGGTTTAAATTAGATTAAAAATATTTAATAAATATTATTTATAACTTATATCCATATGTATTATCTGATTGGTAATTGTCAAAGTGGCCTAAAATAATAAGCATATAACATATAAATTATAACATATATTTATTATTTATAAGTTATTTTAAATTATTATATTATTTTTGTAGTCGTCAAAGTATCCTAAATCAATAACTTATAAAATTATATTAAAAAATTAGTCTTAAATAATATTAAAAAAAATATTTATAATAACACATAATTAGGTGATTTAGATAATCCAAATGAAAATCTACTTCGAATAATTATGTGGTGAGTAGAATAATTCTGTTTTTGATATCCTTATAATTTAGGACTATATACCAAAATATAGCAACAATATTCCACAAGGATGACATCAATTATCTATAAATAAGTTTGTGTGAATATTGGATATTTCAATATTTCAACTAAAGGTAAAACAAAGATGATATCAATAGTTAAATACTTATTAAAAAACTTAAAATATTAATATTATTTTAAATATTTTTATATTTTTTGATTAAAATATTATAAATAGTTTAAGTATATGTAATTTATATTAAGTGTGTTAATAAATCTTGATCAAACCAATTGAAAGGATTACAGACTTAACTATTGAAAGTTTAATGGAACAAATAATTAACATAAATGACCGAGCAAGATCTAAGGACTAGTTTTATGATAATTGTTGATAATATTTATACTTCATTACAATATATAAGTAGCACATTAAAATATTTAAAAATTAATTTAAATTTATTGATAAGTTATTAGCTAACATCTTAATAAAAGAACTGACTTAAATTCAATATGATGATATTAAAGAAATTCAAGACTATATCTTTAATATGGTTAACAAAATTGTAGTATCATGTAGTTGAGTTATTTCTCGTATAATTAATTTTTAATTCTATTTCTTCTTAGTTTGACTCATTTAAAATTTACTATAATAAAATTAAAGATAAATGAAACTTAAATAGGATGACTAGTATATGTGCTTAAAAAGAATTAAGATTAAAATAGGAAAGACTCATAGTATTTTGGTACCTACGTAAACGTTATATAAATCACCTAAGTTTATATAAATTACTTAAATATTATATAAATGTTATACTAAAATAAAGTTGAAATATAAATCACCTAAGTTTATAAATGTTATATAAACTTATAAAAAGAAATCTTCACTGTAAAATACTATTTTTGTGATAAATAAGGTTATGTTAAGAGAACTATAAAATTTTAATTCGAAAAGGAAAGATATAAATTTATCCTTTTGCATGTTTCGAATTAAACATTAGAGAAGTTATTTTCTAATATTTGGTGAATTGATTTTGATGTTTCGTTACTAATAATAGAGATTAATTTTAATATGAAAAATAAAAGAGTTTGAAATATTCATCGTTATAGGGAATCATCTCGAAGTCAAAAGGATAGTAGTTGGTATTTATCGCTTATGCCTAGAGATTATCTATATGTTGTTATGTTCCTATAATTCTAAAAATTCAGTTTCTTTACCTAGAATTATCATGATATTATTTATCTTCTCGTGATGTAAACTTATCATGATTTAATAAAAGTTAATTTTTAAATTTTATATGATGATCTATATAGAATTAAAGTGTATCTTAATTTTACAACAATTTTATATGAAATATAGTTTTTTGAAATTTGAGTCACTTAGTGTTTTCTATTTTAGTGGAAAGAGAGACATTATATTACTTTTATAGATAACGTGTTGAGATGTAACTATATATGTATAATTCATGAAGAGTCCTGATACTCTTGAGGAATAAATGAAACCGAAAGATAATTATATAGAAAAGTCAAAATTATTAAGCTTAATAAGAGTAATAAATTTTATGATAGTTATGATGAGTCTAATTATAATTCTGATTCGTTTGCTAGATTCTTAGAAAAGTAGAGCATTATACTTAGTAGAATGAGATTACTAAAAGGTAAAATTATACTATTAAAGATATGGTTAGGAGTACGATGAGTTATTCTTCTGTATTTGAATCAGTATGAGGAAAAACTCTAAGGTTAATTATATGTATCTTGAATAAGGTTCTTAATAACTCAATTCTACGAGCTTCTTTTGAGTTATGAACTAGTAGAAAATGAAACTTGAGATATTTACATATTTAGAATTGTTTTGCAGAAGTAAGAATCTCCAATTCACATAAAAAAGACTTAGATTCAAATATTATTTTTATATATTTTATTATTTATCTAAAAAATCAAATAGATATAGATTTTATTACTCTGATCAGAGTACGAGGATAGTTAAATCTGGTAATGTAAGATTCCTAGAAAATAGTGAATCAGTGAAAGTGAAAATCTCAAATTTAATCTTGGTATTGAGGAAAATATATGTTGATATTTTTTTTATTATTTTTATATTAAAAAATTATTGTTCCTCAAA